AGCAATCAGATTTGCGGTTTTCAACAAGAAGTCGAAAATATCACTTTTTACCAAAAATGACAAAAATATTCACCAAAATTAAAGAACTGAAGATATCATCACGAAATGAACAAATTTGAGAGAGGTCCACCCAAGGTACCTACATACCAAGTATCAAAGCATTTGGGCTAGTGGTTTTCAAAAAGAAGATAGCATTTTTGACCAAAAATGACAAAAATATTGGTTATAAATAAGACAATTGAACATATCCACACAAAATCAACAAATCTGAGGGAGAACCACCCAAGGTACCTTCCTAGTTTCACAGCTATACAGTTTGTGGTTTTTAAGAAGAAGTCGAAAATGGAGTTGACGACGACGACAACGACAACGGATGTCTATGGACAATCAGTAATACCATAAGCTCCGCTTGACTTCATCGACAGCGGAGCTAATTAAATACTGAATAAAGTGAGACTAAAAATGCATTCTTTTTTTGGCTTCATTAGCTGTCTGAAATGCAGGTGTAATTTTGTCATTAAGCTTGACATGGAATTTAATTTAACTATCAGTTGTGATATGACAAGAACATAACATGTTTAGGAAAGGATAGAATATTTTATTTGTTTGGAATGTACACAAATGCTTGAGTAAATTCCAATATAAGAAACATATATAAGTGATTATAACTAGTATTTAAAAACATATCTGGGGGCACTGTTCATTAAAATGTATTCCTAAGGACAAATAGTGAATATCCAGTGAGTCCTCTATCATGAGAAAGTTGCACACATGTAGCGCATATAAATAGTGTATATTACAGATTGATAGACAAAAATAAAAAGCATTATTATACATCTCTCACTGCAAACAAATGACCACATGGTCAAAATAGCTCCACAGAGTGTCTTTCTCAAAACAAAGGTGTTAATGTTTGCCATGGTTATGGTTCCCACAATGTTCTTGTCATATCACAACTGACAGCTGCTATATTTATTTTCAGTAACCAATATTAGTGCATAACTTTGTACCTAGATTGCCTATCCCAGGAATTGTCGCATACACAGATGGAGCTGAAATGTACTTCTCAATTACCAGTACACCCAATTTTTCCATATTTAGTCATAATCTATTCAATAAGAGAACAATTAAATATATAAGAGCAAATTTATAGGAGTTTTACCTTTAACTTTACGCCAATCTGTATCAAATCTAAATATTTCAATTCCATCTGTGCTAACATGTTTTTTGTTAAATGGTTCACCAAATACGGCTCTCACTGTGGAAGTCTTGCCAGCACCACTTGCTCCTAACATCATAGCACGCCCTCGATACATTATTTTCAATCCACTCGATGGATCAACTTAAACAGTAGAAATAGAAATGTATGTTATAACACGGTACACAACAGCTTGCAGTGAAACATGATATTCATGAAATAGCATCAGTGTTAGTAGATGGAGTGCTTCTGTGCTAATTAAAACTAATTAAAATACAATACCAGTATAAGGATAAATGGCATTTATGATTACAATTAGACTCTTGTTTATTTTGTGGTGTTTTTTTTCAATAAAAAAAAATGGGGGGGATGTATAAATGGCGAAAGCTGGGTTGCTGCGAAATAAAAAGTGACTTGTGACCCTTGCAAGAGTTCCCTTGCTTTTAATATTAATGAACA